ATAAATATACTGACCTCCCAAAAACAATCTGTACTGAACAAAATGGCTCATTAGACACAACAGTTTAGTGGGAACTAAAGAATCTCAAACTAGAATCTTAAAGTGACTCATTAGGACATTTTTGAAGTCATTGAGGACAACCCTCACAGTATTAAAGTGAGGAAGAGACCCAGAAAAATTTTATCAAACAGCTACTTAGGCCTGTCCATTCCCTAGTTTCATTCTTTTTTCACTCTACCATGTTACCTTCTGAGCTGCCAAGCTTCCCTCACTATAGGAGGTTAGAAATCGCTCTGATAAATATATTTTAGTTCAAGAGTTTCAAGGTTTTCAAGAGAATGAAAGAATCTCCCATTCTTTCTCAGGAAATATTGACTGACTAGAAACATTTGCTTGCCTGGATATGTTTAAACCAGGAGGATTCTAAATGTAAAGATATTAAAGAAAAAAAATCTTTCTTCAATGCTACATTAAACATTTAAGCATTTGCCAGAAGGGTAGTTGGAAGAAATAGCAAATCAAAACCCACGAACTTCATATTTCAAATGTACAGGCAAACATTTCATATGACTTCCATGATTTATAGTCAGCACGATATTATACTAGAGAAACTGAAGCAATGCATAGGGTGTAACTCTCCTGCCTTCTCCCTTCCCTCCTAACAAACAGCTATTTCTATCATTTCCAGATGGTTCTGCCATCACTATGTAAACATAAGGGAGGAAAATTCACAAGAAATGATGCTAAAAATAAGAAGTCTGGACTTCCCTCAAAGTTTTAGTACCTCTTAAAAACTTATTTTAGTCAAACACTGAAAACAAACTTTCTCATCCTGCACTGTTTTTAATGCTATTTAGTAGCACATATTCTGTCTATCACACACACAATTGCTGCAAATAGAAGCTGTGAAACAAAAAGGACAAGTAAATACTCCTATGTTTGTAGCAGTTTTATGATAATGAACACTTGGGGGGCTGAAATACATTGATGGAATGTTGGATTTTCTTTTCCTTTTTTTGGAGACAGGGTTGCGTTATATGGCTCAGGCTGGCCTTGAACTCACTAGGGAGCCCAGGCTGGCCTTGAATTCACAGTGATCCTCCTGCTTCAGCCTCCTCAGTGCTGAGATTATAGGCACGTGCTACCAAGCCTGGTGGGTTTTCTTTTTTAAGGGAATGTCATTACAACAGTGATCACAACGTTCCTTCAGATTTATAAAACTATATTTTTGAGAACTACTACAAGGCAAAAAGCACCTCAAAAGCATAGGCAAGAAAAGTAAAAATAATCAAGTGGGACTACATGAAACTAAAAAGCTTCTGCACAGCAAAGGAAATAATACACAAAATGAAGCCTATGGATTAGGAAAATAATTGAGAACTAAATTATGTGTCACGGCCCCTAGGTGCCTGCGCGGTAGGAGGCCTGGGAGGCAGGCCGCCTGTACCTGGGAAGCTGTGCAGCGGGGAGTACAGGCCTTTGGGCTGGCCCCTAGCTACGCAGGCACCCGGGAGGCAGGCAGTCAGTGCCCGGGAAGCTGTGCAGCAGAGAGTGCAGGCCTTTGGGTGGCCCCTAGCTGCACAGACACCTAGAAGGCAGGACGCCTGTGCCTGAGAAGCCACGTGGCGGGGAACACTGCCCTTTAGGCCAGCCCCTAACAGCTCAGGCGCCCGGGAGGCGGGCAGTCAGCGCCCGGGAAGCCACACAGAGGCGCATGCCGCTGTGCACCAGCCCTCGTGCCAGCCACCGTGGGGTAGAGAATATCATGGCACAGAGAAGCAAGGACACAAGATATTCTCTACCGTGGGGTAGAGAATATCATGGCACAGAGAAGCAAGGACACAATTGG